TTAGACTGTAACATGCGCAGTCCGCTGCTCAACCACTGCGGACGCGGCTCCGCCGCTGTGAAGAATTAGAAACCGCTAGGAAAAACTCATCCAGCAGATTTAACAAATGGAGCCTTCTTGGTTCACGTTACCCAGGAGAGCAGCAGTCTGGAGGAGCTGCAGACATAACATCTGTCCGTTTTAGAGAAGCGAAACCACGCTAAATAAATAAATAAATAAAATAATCCTGGTAAAAGCGCACACCGGACCGCACAGGGTAAAGCACTCACAGAGTTCAGTTGATCTGTTTGGATCAGACAGATCCAACTGACTGATGAATTAGTGCAGATATTTTTCTGCAGATGGGAACCAGGAGGAAGTGCGTTCAGACCCCAGCGGGTGAATTGATGCAAATTTAAGTGAAGTCGCTTAATTTATTAAAAGTTATTGGGGTGGGCCTTGAGTTTGACACATGTGCCATAAGGTGTGACTGCTTGAAAGCAAAATTTATGTTGTTCTAAGACTTTTTGCTCTTGTGAAAATGTGTCTTCATGTCCTCTGAGGTATCTTTCTCTGATCTGACCACAAGGTCTGCACAAAGGATGAGTGGCTCAGCAGCTGCTTGTGAATACAGAGAGTCTTTATTGTAAAAGAGGTAGAGAGAATACAGGTGTTTCACTGTACAGAAAAAAGACAGCACTGTTTTTACTCAGTCAAACCAATAATATGGACTCAGACACGCCTCATTCATTTACAGGGACAGGCCAGTAAAAAAGAGAAAAGGAGAAACGAAACAACATGAAACAGAGAAACAAACACACAAATCTTTGGATTTTTCTCTATTGCCCTCTCATTCACTAAATGCACTCCCTTTCTGAGCCGTTAAAACCAAAACACTTGTTAAACTAATAGTACAAGCAATAATAATATTAATAAAAATGATATAGTGTGCTAAAAACAAAAGATAATGCGATCCCACCTCTCACATCTTTCCAACCACAAATACATTTTAGTAACAAGTGGAAAACAAACCCTACGAGCCCCGATGATAAAACCCAAACCTGCATGCACTCAACACACACTCACTCTACCGTCTGTGCACTCAGCTAATCATACAAACATAATGATGACCTACGCTGGGCGGCTTTCCAAACAAAACAAAACAAAAAAACAACGGACATTTAAAATAACCAAACATTATACAAAAACAACTGCAGCCAAGTGGGAAGGGTGATATCATTCTGTCTGTCTTTTCCCTCGTCAATCTTTCTGTCGTTCTGTGCGGGCGGGGCGGGGCCATCAGTCGGAGTTATCCGAGTGGTCGGTGCGGGGCGAAGTGCCGGAGGGGGGCGAGGCCCGACCCTGCCAGTTTCCGTTAGCCTGAGGGGTCCAAAGAGACAAAATCAACATCAACAAACCGCATCGTGCAACAAAAATGCAGTATACTGAAAATCAATATATGAATTTGCATATAATCTCTTTTTCCTCCATTTCTTGTTGGGTTCAAAGCTCCCACCTTTCAACAAAAAAAAAAGAAATCTGCAACATTTTTTTTACTCTCTGGTCAATTAGTTTTATTAAGTGTTTGATTTTAGAAAGAAAATAACATTCTGCAGGTCAGACATTTAAAACATTGTATTTACAAACTGTTAAAGTCTTCATGTGCAAAAATAAACAGGCAGAGCTGTGTGACTTAATAAACCCTGATTGGTCCAGCTGGCCTCTACACATTAATGCATGTCTGGTGTGAAGGACTTTGGATAATGTCAACATCTGCCATTTTCTTTTCTTTTCTTCATTTTGTGGCACTAAGCAAAAGATAATGTTGTAAAATGAAAAGATCTGACAATATTTAGAAGGAAGGTATATAAAGAAAGTATGAACAAGCTTTTAAATCAATGTGGCCAAGAAGAAAATATCAGTTTTCTGGCACTTTGAAGTAAAAGAAAAGTAATGCTAAGCAAACCCTCAGTTCGGCTTAGCAACAAGTTTACGAGTTTCTTGTCAAGTAAAATGATGTAAAACAGATTAGTGTGTTAATAACAAACTTAATCACAACTTCTGCCAAAACTCATACCCCTTATCATATTCCAATAACTTTCTTATGGCAGAGTAATCTCCAACTGGCTGAGACGTTAAAACTTTAAAAACAGGCTGTAAGCAAGATGTCACATGACTTCTTGGTTTGAATTTATCACAGCTGCCTACCACACAGTTAAATATTTCTCAACCAATGACAGGAATGTTCTGATAACAACAGTGTTATGATTTTATGAGTGTTTACACTTACAATCCAATAAAGGCTCTTTCACAAGTTACTGGAAGCGTGATCAGAAAGTCAGCTGGTTTTGTTTGAAACAGCTGCTTTAAAACTTGAGGTGTTTAGTGAGTTTAAAACAAACTCTGGCTGCTTTCATCTGCTTTCTCAAAACTACCACCCAGATGACTTTACCTGAAACAAAACCCAGAAACAACTATGTTTCTAGAAGAACTATAGGGATGGAAACAGTTGCAAAGTGTCACATTTGACAAGATCTGAGGTCATTCTTGAAAATATTTTCAAATATTAACATCAGATCAGCTCCTTATGCCCTCCATGTCTAATTCTGATCCCAAAACTCAGCAGAAAATGATATTTCTCTCCCATTCCATCTAAATGTATGAAGCAGCAGCTCACATATGCATGCCTGTTCAGAAATGTATCTTTATCGCCCTCTTGTGACGGGCTGATGGACAACAACATCGATCTGAGTAACAACATGAAGCTTCCGCCTTGAGAGAGATGTCTGCATGCAACTTTACTGCTTTTCATCTTTAAATGATTAGCAAATCACAAAATAAAGACACGATCTGCAGCACCTGCATCTGGTAGGCGGACTGCTCGCCGTTCACAGATGGAACCCCGAGGAACATGTCCGCTGAGCCCGAGAGGGAGAACGACCCCGACCCTGAAAACGAAGAAAAAATATTTAGTTTTCATCGACAGCATTAAAACGTTTGATTTTTTTCTGTGTAGGAAGCTAAGGGGCCTCCAGGGTTCCAGCAGGAGCCTTCGTCGTCTCGTACCTGTGGAGTTTGGAGTGTGCGGAGAATCGTCTCCCTGTCTGGCTCCTAAAGCCGTCTTCATGGCGTACAGGTTGGCCTCCTCTTGGAACTTGCCGATGTTTTTCTTGTAGCGGATTCGTTTGTTGCCAAACCAGTTGGAGACCTGGGTAAAAATGATTGAAAAAATAACACCCAAATTATAGTTTTCTTACAAATGCAAATACAAAACGTGGTTTCAGCTATGAGTGTTGAATAACAGATTTGGTAATTCAACTCCTGCCAGAACGTCACATAGCTCTGCCGGTTTATTTTACACATGAAGACTTTAACAACTTTCCTTCTGTTGCAAATGTCTGACTTTAAATACAAATATAAAAGTTACAAATTTGTGACTACAAAATGTCAGAGAAACTTTCTGTTTAACATCATAAATTTAAGCCTTTAATCATAAAAAATGTTCATTTGCTTCTTGTAAATATCCAACTTTTCAACACTAGAGAATATCCAAATTTTTCTTGTAAATACGTGAAATCATCTCAGTATATCAGATATTTTTGGTGTAAATTTACTCTCCAATTTTTTAAAATATATTTTATCTAATTTTCCGTCACATCCTGCCAGCTCGTCTCGATCCGTGCAGACAGCTGCTGACCTGAGAGACGGTGATTCCACACTGTTTGGCAAGTTCCTCTTTGGCTTCTTCGCTGGGGTAAGGGTTGGACAGGTGGGAGTAGAAATACTCGTTGAGGACCTCTGTGGCCTGTTTGCTGAAGTTGCGCCTCTTACGCCTGAGGAGAGAGAAACATGGTGAGCGCTAAGGGAATAACAACTGAAGAAATTAAAAAATAAAAATCTAACAGGGCAAATACTATTCAAGCCATCTTTGACTGTGAAAAACACATATTTTATAGAAAAGCTGACAATAAATGCATGGAATATATCAGAAAAAGACAGATGGATGGATACAGCAAAATGGTATATCCTTCCAAATCTGGAAAAGACTTAAAATTTCAAATTTTTCCAGACTGCACATTTCAAAGACCTCTTTACATGACATTTATTACAACTCCTGCTATAAACATCAAATAGTCACTTGCAAAGCTTTCATAAAACCCTTTTAAGTTAGACTTGGAAAATATTCTAGTATCTAGATGTTGTATTATCTAAGCCACAATGAGAAGCAGTCAGAGCCAAGTTAGCAAGCAGGTGTGCAGTGAGGTGAGACCACTGTGAAAGATCACAGCAATATCTGGCTGCTTGAACATTAAATATAAAGAAAAGATGGAGAATCAGGAGCGTTGTACGATGGACACCAAAAGAAAAATGGCCACAAACCGCTCACCTGGCGTCCAGGAAGCGGGACCTCAGAATCATGACGGCCTCACACGTGCTCTGCTTGAGCTGGGTCTGGATGGAGCTGAACTTGCGGTGGATGATGGCCACCATGCGCTCGATCTCCCGCGGAGTCACGGGCCGCGTGCGCGACTGCTCCCTCAGCAGGTTCATGACGTGAGTGGTGAATTCAGTGCATGCCTGAGTAAAGTTGGCAAATGAGAGAAACAAAAGGAAGGGATTAAATCTATACTGGAGTTCTCAACAATGTATCTGTATTGATTTTGAGGGAAAGGAAACCCTGAAAAGCTTTTTAAGACAACAAGGAGTTCTGAGGAAAGCTTAATTAAATAACTTGACATATGCAAAAGACTAAAATAGTATATTAAACAGCTGTGGAAAAATCTATTTTAGAAGGTTAGCATTCCTAAATGTTGTGTCAAATGGATTCCACTCAGCTGTGGAACTCATAATTACAAGAATAAAAACAACTCCCCCCCACATCCACCCACTCTAAAGAGGTATTTTCTGCGAATGCGTGGCCTAACATGCCAAAGGATTTACACTCCTGGAGGGCAGCGTCAGAACAGGCAAGCGTGTACAGGCAATGTCAGCGACACGGTACCTGCTCATACTTCTCCAGCTCAGTGTGGTAGATACTGCGAATCTGGCTCAACTTGCTTTTGTAGTCGGAGTGCTCGAGCGAGCTGTCGGGCGACATCCCTCCGGAGCTGGTGGCGGCAGACACGGCGGCGGCGGCCCCGCCTCCTTTCTCCGGCCCGGCGACGCCCTCCGCCAGCAGCATGTTGTCTAAACGCACCAGCTGAGGATCCTGAGGCTCCTCCTCCTGGGTGTTCCTCATAGACAGGCCTACCGGTTAGAACATGTTTGTGTTTTAACTCCCACTAAAATCAAACATTTCATGGCACACTCTTAGTTAAAAAAAAATGTGTCCAAGCACAGAACCTTGTGGTACTCCACCAGAAGCCCTGGAACATGAACAGACTGGAATCTGTTGGACCAATCAGATCTAAACTCCACTTGATTAGCAACTATTTTCTCCTGGAAACAGATACAAGTCATCTGAATCAAGAAAAGGTTTCTTAAGGAAAGGCTAAGAGACTTTAAAGTCTGTGATATGTCTCCATTTAGCTTAATTATGCCTAAATTTGGGGCGGTAATCTAAGGGAACTCTTGTGTGAATAATTTGGTTGGGATGGGGTCCAACATGCAAGATGAAGGTTTTCATCTAACAAGGTCTCTGCAATAAACTGCAAGAGGAGTGATTTGATTTGGGCTCCAGAAACTGAAACAGTCATGAGAAATATATTGTTTGCATTTGTTAAATATGTAACTCAATATGCAGAAGCTAAACTGAATATTTAGGATAAAAACGTGGCTAAATAATTTATGCACCTTTGCTTGAAGTTTGTTGGATTCCAATGAATTCCCAGCCATCGCCACACTCTTTCCAGGCTGCTTTATTAATTTTTAATATCTAAAAACAAACATTTAATATCAAGCAGACTAAATATATATAAAAAGATTGTAAATTAAATGTTCTAAAACAGGGAACAAAACTTCAAATACCGCTGCTTATTTTAGTAGAGTATAGTTTTACTTACATGACTCAAGTCATATATTATGCAACTTGGTGTTTATTTTATAAACTATGGTCAATTTCACAGCAATTTAAACAAAAGAAACATTTTAAGGCTGGTTAACTTCACTACTTCTTTGAATTAAATTTTATATTAATCGATTTATTTATATTCAGAATTAATATTATACTACAGGAATAGAAATACTGCCTAGAAACACAGCTGTTTATTAATCCCCTGTTTCTCCCCCATACTTATTCAGACTAGGAAGGAAGGAACTAAAAAACATGAGTCAAACTTTTCCATTCTGTTCATATCTTCATCTGAATCCGCTTTTATACTTCACACGATCAGTTCGCTCAGAAAGCAACAAACCGCAACTCAAAGATAAAACACCATCCTGTTTAGAGATCTCATAACCATCAATGTTTGCAACATCACAATCACAAAAGACTGTTTGGACGCACTATTTGGTAAGCAATAACATTTCAGATGCCATCCATTAAAATCCTGTCCACTAATAACATATTTCAGCACCAGGACAGACTTTATTTCAACAACTGATGTAGATTTAAATGATCAAGATAAAGACAGCTCCAGGAAAATGCCGGGCACAACGTAGGTTATGTTTAATCAATATCATTGCAATATGTAACATTAATATCATAATATTATATTTTATGTTGGTTAAACCTCTGGAGTTTGTTCTCTTTGTACAAACAGCTGCAGTCTAGCCATAATTGCCTGCTTGAAAATGGGTTTATACAAAAAAAAAAAAGAAAACTCTCCCACGAAAGTTTATTGCTACTTATGTTGGTCTGATAAGGGCTACAATTCTCAGATATTTCTAACGAGTCAACTGACTGAAACGGTGCATCCTAATATTATGACTTTGCATTTTCAAATAAGCATTTCTGAGAGTTGCGTCAACCTTTAGATTTAATGGAGTTGATTTTTTTTTTTTTTTTTCATAATTTGACCACCACTAATCCATTAATAGTGGAGCAAAAAAAAACCATATATACATCTGCAAAACTTTTCCTTAAAGATGAGCACTGAGTGACTGTTTTAAGTGAAAGCAGGTGTGGTACAGGTGTTTACTCACAAATCTAAACATAAATAAAGTGAAGTCAAAGCCAATAAATTATGGTGATTTGTTTCAGTGCTCTGTTTCTATTATTTAGGAATGAACCTGCACCTTAATACAGGTCACATCTAACAGTTGCTCCTACAATTATGCATTACACAAACAGCAGCTTGGTAACTTAATTTCTAACATCATTTTATTAAAAGAGAACAAATATTCTTTTTGAATTGGACATATTTTCAGAACTATGCTGCTTTCTGACAACTGTAGGAAAGAGAGCAGCTTTATTGGGCAACATGGCGAAATTAAAGATCTGATCATTTGAGCAAATGTGAAAATTAACAAATGTAAATAAGGTGGTAAACCCTGAGGTGGAAAAGCTGCACAATAATCAATATGCTAACTGACACAATATCTATGTTTGCTTCAGACCATCAATCTATTACTAACTACGGAGTTTATTTGTTTCAGTGCTATGGTCAAGAGTATAAGTTAAACAATGTGACCAAAACAACAGCTAGATGGAGAGCGTTTATTGCAACTACTGACACTGATCTAAATAAATAAGAGCAACTTTTGTCTTTATCCTCACACAAGCATTGTGTTTTGATCATATTATTGGTTTGTGATGACACCATATCAACTCGGGCTGCTGATGGCTCCAGTTGCACAGCACCACAGATCAACACCATGGTCTTGGTGACAGACAGCATTTATTAACCCTGTGTGTGTAAATAACCTACCCGTTTTTTCCTTGATCTCGCAAAGAACGCTGAACAATGCGGGCTTCATTCGGTGACAGTTTAGTGCGTGTTTCCTGTGGGGCACGAAGGAAACATCATGACTTATTGGAAGTACAGAGAGCAATAAAAAATGCTGACAGCATGAAAACCTAGGGAAAAATAAATTAAAGTTCTACAGCGACGTTTAGCAAGTTAGCAACCGTTAGCTTTAAGATAACTTTAAGATATCTGAAACAGACAAGAAAATATATAAATGTGACCTCACTGAACATTGTAGTCAATATGTCACTCCCGTTTTGATGTGATGTAGTAAAATGTAACGCATTCTTATAAAGAATGCATTTTCTTTACGCTAAAGGTGTAAGCTGCTGCTCTTAGCTTTAGCAAGTTAGCCTCGATTAGCGCAGGCTAAACGCCGAAGTTGGATTATGATTCGGCACAACAGTTAATGCCTTTATCTTGAATACAGTTCATCCGATCCATCTTAAACCATCAGAATTGAAGTAATTTTTTTTCTCTGAACTAACCACAGGTTATCCCAAACACCATTTTATTAATAAAAAAAATCTACCACCTTAACACATAATACAACTTAAAATGTACGGTAACTAAACAAGTTCAAACTTGACTGATTCAGTCTGCACTAATTAAAGTCTTTCAAATACAGCTAAAGATCACTGAAACAAGTGCTTTTCAAGTAAAAACAAAAATTATAAATCAATTACTCATTTATGAAACCCCCGTTTTGTTTTTTTTTTTTTGTTATTTTTTTGTTTTGTTTTATTTTATTTTTTTTATACGTCATTAACTTTGTTTTGATTAGGTTAGACCAGTTTAAGTAATATGTTTTTTAAATGGACTTGAAAGTAATCTGGTCTAAATGCCAAGAATAACATTTAAGCAACTATTTTGCAATTGAATAAGTTCAAGAAATATTTCACAAGATACACAAGACTTTTAAGGGATCTTCATTTATAGTGGAAAAATCAATTTTGAAACAGAATCGTTCTAAAGCCCCTTAAAGAAACACCGAAACGGAAGCCAACTTCAGTCTCGAGAAGGCTAACAATGGCTGCGATCAACAATCTCTGCTTGAAGGAAATGTGTTTTAAAACTAACATCAAATAACAAAAAGTCTCATTTTACTCCGACATCATATGAGAGCGAGCATATAATAGAAAAACAGTTTTATTTTTATGAGAAGGCTAATTGTTTAGCTGCTGGCTAATCAATCTAAACAATAGAGTGAAGTTCAGGAAAGTTTCCCAAAGCGTCACAGAGCCAAAACAAAACGCAGCCACGGTGTCGGTAACTTTCCAAATTAAACAATCAAAGCTGTCACTAACTTTGCTTGTGCCTCGTCCAAACTTTGGTCGGTGATGGTCATTATTTGCTGCAGTATGTCACCAATATCTCTGCGGGTTTCATGTCCGTTTTCTGTGCCCTCGAGGCCCGACTCGCCTCCGTCCGACCGGTGCTGGGAGGGTTGATGAACCGAGTTGAGCGCATGCATCCCGGGGTGGCCGCTCACGCCGAGTCCCCGGCCGTTGGATGGCCCATTGCCAGTCAGAGGCTGCTGTTGCAACATCTTTGGCGACGCACAGTGGCGACGACTGCTGCCCGACTGTGTTCTCACAGGCAACACAGCACTACCCGAACCGAGGCATCTCACAGAGCAGGGTCCCCTAGCGACTGACAGCCAGAAGTGCAAAACAGGCAAATGTGTGGAGCCCAGAGAGTGCACATAGAAAAAATAAATGTAGACAAAATATTTAGATTTTTGGAAATACATATTATTATCATAAACAAGCTCTTTGCATCAGAATTCCATATGCATGAAATTGTTGCAGTAGTCAATGTGACTAAAGATAAATGCATGCATGAGTTTTTCTAGATCTTGCTGAGACATTAGTCCTTTAATCCTGGAAATATTCTTTAAGTAATAGAAGGCTGACTATTACTGTGGCTCTGAAGGTTCAGGTCAGAGTCCATCACTACACCCAAATTTATGGCTTACTTGCTGGTTTCCAGCTGTAGTAACTGAAGCTGTGCATTGACTCTAGATCATTCCTCTGTAGGTCCACAGATAATAACTTTGGTTTTCTTTCTGTTCAACTGGAGAAAGTAATGGCTCATCCACCTGGTAACATTGAAACAAAGAAATCCCCGTTCCTTAAGTAAGATTTGAACCAGCTGCGTACTGGACCGGAGAAAAGTTGAGTACCGACCCAACTCTTGGTACTTTTTACTTTTTGTTTTGAGGGAGGGCAGGAAAGAATTTGGAAACGAGCAGAGAGGCTTTGAGCGTGAGGAGAAAAGTTTGAGAGAACATAGTACATATTTGAACGAGCGCAGAAGTTTTGAGTACAAGCATTAGAAGTTTTGACAACAAAGCCATGAAGTCCTGCTTTCAGACTGAAAATGTGCTCTCTACTTAAGACAGAAAAATTCCCCACATACAATCACACAACTCCTGGTTCTGACTATGGCAAACAGACTTCTTTAAAGAAGTTGCTGCCAATGCTCCAGAGTAGGTATTTTCTATTGTTTATGTTTCTTTTTCTTAGCTTCCTTTGTCTTATGATTTTGTGACGACACAGTCAGATGCCATTGCTGAACAAACATTAAAAGTGATCCATAGAAGGCTCCATCCTTAATTAGACTCCTGATGCTGCTGTATTTCAGTGAACACTAACATCCAGAAAAGCTGGATATTTAAAATGTATTATTGTAAGTTCACAAGTAAGAGGATGACTAAATATGTAAATGTATATAATCACATTGGATCCAGATCATTTCAATTTGGGATACTTTGCTCTAAACAATTACTGAGGTCATTGACCTCCATTTTTTACTTTTCATTCTGGCACTTGTGGAGCTCCGTACAAGTGCAAAACAGCATGTGACAAATATGACAACAGCATTTTTTTATCTGGTGAAGAAATTCTGCTGAGACCACAGCAACAAGTTTCATAGAGGATAAGTGTTTGTGTGTGTATGACTGAGCACAATAATGCTTAATCAAGTAAAAAAAAAAAGGACAGGATCAAATAAAATTTGACTCAATAATCTGGAAACTGCTTGCTTTCTTGTTAAAGATTGAAATCTGACTACGAACAGATGAAGCCTAATTTGTCTTTTGTGAAACAACAATCTGACTTAATACGGCTCGTTTCTCTACTTCTCGTTTTAGCTTCAAGTCAACAGGATGTGAGCCAAAACCACAACAGTGAAGCGCAGAAGAGCTGTACGTGTTTCAACAAGTTGCAATGGGGCCTGACACATTCAAATGCGTAGCAGCTTAAGCAGCAGCTGCCTGCAGCGGCTCAGCATGCTCCTAGTTTAAGATCAGGTTGCAGACTCCTGTGTTTCAGAGTACACCTGGACCGAAGCAAGTACATGACAGGAGCTATTTAGTTTGTTTTAGAGACGTAGTTCATGACAATCAGATGAGGCAAATGTGGGGCATGTAAATAGGGGTGGGCTGAGGCGAGAGGAACAGGAAGAATAGAGCGGAGAGACAGAAGACTGCAATACAGACAGAGAGAGGGAGAGCTTGTGGCGCTGGTATGTGAAATACTTCACAGCAGACTTTTTTACCCCTTCTTGTCTACATAGAGATATTGACCAGACGAAGGACGAGGCGAAAAATGCTGTACCCCATCTGTGGTCAGTTCAACAGATGATGTTGTGAGGAGATAAAGTCCAAACGACAAAGGTAAGACCCGGTTTACTTAACTTGGAGTAAAAGTAATGTTTATGGGGGAATCTCACAGGATTAAAGTCTTAAAAATAAACTATCTTCATTACTAAAGTCTAACTAGTCCATATGAATCTTTTAACCACATTATACATGTTAGTTGTTAAAAAAACAACAACAACAGAAGTGTAGATTTTATAGTGCTGTTTAAAGAGGTGAGAACTTGCTAAACTGGTTTCTTAAGGAGGGACAAAAAAAATCTTCAAAAACAGTTTTCAAGCCAGTAAACACCTGTCTGTTAACAACGTACATGTCCTGTCTGCCGCCTAACCATCAGAAGAGGAACCGTTTTCTGTCTGCTTTGCGTCTATATCAAAGAATCTGCTTTGTGTTTCTTCCGCTCAGAGTTTGACAGACACAATAATGGAGAGCAACATTGAATTTTCTGTGGAGGAGATGCTGGAACCTCTCATCATCACCGAGGACGGAGACACAACCACAGGAGAGGCAGCAAGCAGCTCAGATGCCATCTTGCGAAGCTGTGGTGAAGACTCTGCTCTCGAAAAGAAAGAGGAACACCCGGGGGAGGGCGAGAATAATGAAGCTGCACCGAGTAGTGAAACGCATTCAGAGGAGCTAAAGTTGGAAAAGCAGCAGAGCAACACGGAGGAGGAGGAGCATTCAAAGGTTGATAAGCTGGAGGATAGTGAGAAGAGAGATGATGGACTAAACTTAGACAAAAATGAAAGTGAAGAGCAGACACAAGCTGGTGAAACAGTGGAGGAAAATTCCTCTGAGCAGCAAAATGAAGGGGACAAAAACCAAGATGAAGATGCAAAAAAGGTGGGTAAACTAAAACCTCTGAATCAATTAGATGTTCAGAAGGTAATCATAACACTTATTATGTTATTGACTTAAACAACATTCAGTCCGAGGAAAACACACACACACACACACACACCTACACACACACACACTTGTGGAAATTTGTAAGATTTATTTTGTTACACATCATGTGGGATTACGTAGGAGTGGAGTGGATTCCTTTGCTGTGCCAACAAACATTGTGTGCCACTCAGTCAGAAACCTCTGTCTCTCTCCACCTACCCGCCTCCTCTCAGGCTCACCGGTTAACCCCTGACTTCCCAGACTCGCTGTTTGAGCTGCTCTGCACCCTGCAGGAGGGCAGGCGGCTCAACGACCAGCGATGCTCCTTCAGGTTGGAGGGCGGGATCAGGAGGAGGAGGTGCCACTCGGAGCCCAATACCAGGAAACCAGCTAACAGAGGTGGGAGCGCGCTCATGAGGTTCCACTGAAACTGATGAAACTCATGCAGCTGTTTCAGCTGTTTCCATGACATGACTCTGACTCATTTTGATGGAGAAGAACAAAAACAACTATGAAACCTATGAGCAGGGTTTCAGTACTTTTATGTTTCTCCATTTTTGATAGTTAAAACTCCACTGAATTACTTTTTTTTTTTCTTTCCAGTTGTCTTTTCCTCCATGACTTCACTGCAGAAAGAGGAGTTTTTTGATTTGGTTGCCACTGCACAAGCTCGCCGGCTGGACGACCAGAGAGCACAGCTGGGAGGCTCTCTGGCCCCAAAACCAAAATGTAGAAGCTTTCGAGGCAGCTTAAAGCAGCTGACTTTAGTGAAAAAACCTGAACCGGTTCCTGTCCCCAAAGATGTTCCTGCCCCTAAAGATGATCTGTATGATATGATTCTGACAACACAAGTAAGGAGGATTTGCTATAATGAGTGCTGTAATTTTTAAAAAGAAATAGTTGGTGTATCCACTTGTCGATTCTGATTCCTCCCTTTGCTGTAACCCTCAGGCTCAGGGCCGGCTGGAGGACCAGCGCAGCAGGGCCCCCGGTCCCATGGACGATGAAGACTTCTTCTCTCTCCTCCTGAAAGTGCAGGGTGGGCGAATGGATGAGCAGAGGACTGAACTGCCACGCTTGCTGAAAACCTGAGACACAAAATAGAAACTGTGGTCAGCTGTGAGAGTCAATGAGTGTTTTAGCCTCTCTCTTTTTTGCTTTGATTTCCTGTATGAGCAGGGTTTTCACAACCATAACTCCTCCTGAATGTTAGTCAGTGTTAAAGTTGTCAAGATTGTAGCAAAAACGCTAATGTTTGAGCCACAAAGCTTTTAATGTAACATTAGGAATTGTTTCCAATAAAGAAAAGGGCAGCAATACATAATTCAGCCTGTACTCTGAGGGACATTAAGGGCTACTTTCTAAAACTTGGAGGTTACTTCTTGAAACCTAAGGGATATTTTTTCAGAATACAATTAGTTTTTAGAGTGTAGACATTACTTTCCAAACCTTATAGGTTATTTGTTGGATCTTAGAGGTTAGTTTCTGGAAGTTATGGTTATTCTCTGGAATTTACTCATATTTTCTGTGATATATATTTTACTTTCAGAAATCTGTACATTTCCTTTCTGTGAATTTTTGTGAATATACCATTTAAATTTTGTAAAAGAACTTATAAAACTTGGAAAGTAACCTCCAAGATCCAACAATGTACCTTCTAAGTTCATCAAAGTACCAAGTTGCAAGACTCATAACGTAGCATACTCCTTGAAATTAATCTTAGTGTTTTGAAAAGTAATGTGAGTTTTGTGAAGTAAGTTCATGAAAGCATTAGGTTACATATCTCCCTGTAATAGTTCAAGGAAGTACCTTTTCAGTTGCAGAGCATAACTTTAAATTGTAGTAAGTCGCTTACTACAATTTAAAGGTTCTAGAGAAAGTAACTTCTACTTCCTGAAAGTAACCTCTAAGTTCTGGAAACTAACTACAATGTTCTGGAAAGTACCAGGTTGAAGGATGCCTCATAACACAGCTTGATCTCTGAAGGTACCCAGTTAGTTCAACAAAGTAATCTGTATGCTTCATGAAAGCTATCTTTAAATTCCAGTGAAAGCTTCAGAAGCGTTTCCCCACAATATAACTTACTACTAAAGTACCCTTTATGTTCTGGAATGACACCTCTGAGTTTGTGGTACAGAAATGTATATATTTACCCCAAATTATCCAGTAAGCCAGTTTGAGGATGTGCCATCTAATTGGAGAAAGTACAAAGATACAAAACTCCTGATAGTATAAGTGTTGCCCTCAAAAGTAACCTTTCGATTCTGAGGACAGTGACTTGTAACCTCCAGCAAGTCCCGGAAATGAAAGAGTTGTATTATACATTGCTACTAAAATGTTTACCATTTTTGGAGTTTTTTTTTTTCCTCTTGCAAATGTGATCAGAATAGACTAGCTTTTTTGGAAGTTGAGGAGAAAGTATTTTGATATGTATTGTTTTTTTTACCAACAAGGTAAGATTGATGAGGAGATCCAAAAGTTATGCAGTGCTTAAGTGATATATGAAAGTTCTCTTCCAGAATAAACCAAATGTGCATCTGAGCCATTAGATTAGTTGATTTGTGAAATTTATTTCTCAAAATTACCATCAGAAGGAAGAAAGGACTAACTCCATTACTGGATTTCAGCAGAGGATAGTTTCTTCAGTAGCAGTGATGCCTGAAATTTGAGCAAAACAGAGAATAACACTTCATTATAGAGAGGTGTTTAGTGGCGTGATGATTCCATTGTTGGTTATTATAGTAAAAACATATTAGATGATTAGTATTTAGCACGTGTTGTACTCTTGAGACAGAAAGTCAAAACTGGGAAAAAATGTAAAATTATGAGTTTCTAGTCATAAATTGGAGTCAGAAATGGACTATCGTATCCATGTGTTGGGAAATTCCCCTTTAAGGCATTTTGTTGAAACTATGAAAAAAAATTGACTGCTAAGTTTATTATTAACAGTAATTCCCTTGTGATGGGAACATTTCCTGATATCTATTCAAAAACATCCAGCTGCACATGAATTTAACCATTCCTGGTGGAACAACATGACTTATGGTGTTCCTCTTAAGGAACAAATAAGGCAAAGATAAGGATGTTAATATTTAACAAGCTAAGTGGAGCACTTTTAGGTGTATTTTTCTAACCAACTTCCTGAATTTTCTAGTTTGCTCCTGTAATGATAAAGAAATAAACGACAAATACCATGTTTCTTACTACCTGTTACAAATATTAGGCTTAGTGAAAAATAATTAAATTTTAGTATAGTTTATTAATCTAAATAGGGTGCCAAAGATGTTTTACTGAAGTTAGCTGGTTTTATTTTTGCTGTGCAGTATTCGGTGTTAAACAGAAGAGCATGGTTGTGACTCATCACAAACCGATCAAACTGTTTAAGTCACAACATGCTTTTCAAAACGCTGCAGGCAATAATGAAGGCCACCTAATGTCAACACCTACTGGGGGTCTCATGGAAACTGGTGACCTTCTCCGCTCTGCACTGCACTGCACTGCGTCCTCTCAGCTCAGAGGAAACCTGTTTAAGGAAGTAGTTATCGGCCCACGCAGGGGGAGGTCAGAGGTGACGAGAGGATGCCGTGTCACTTCCTCAAACAGGAGATTTAGGCCAAGATATCAGATCACTGACCACCACCTGCAATGCTTGCAGCAAAGAGAAAAAGGAGAAGAGCATGCAGCACATCTAAAGCTGCACATTTCAGCAAATATTATGAAACAGGAAAAGCTGATTAAGTTCCACTTTTAGGATGAATGTGCTAGAAAGTGCTCTTCCAAGAGTTGGGTGTGTATATTCAGCCAGTTTGTTCCTCATCAGGAGGATTAAAGGTCACTTGTCAAAGAAGAAATATCAGTCATGTCAACACGGGTTTTATTTAGATTTATTTGTCTGACTTAGAAATCTCTTAATTCTGCAGATGCGTGTTTTATTTAGCTCACTATTTTTGTTTGTCATGAAAAATAGAGTTGCTCAAGATATCAAGATCAAAACGCTAAGCAGCTTTGCATATAAAACTGAATATAGAATGTAAACCCTGTCCCAACTTGGTGAGGTTTAACAAACACAGTCAAGTCTAAAATTATCCATGTTCGGGTTTAAAGTAATCTTTAACTATTACTATTAGGTTTTCTTCTGACTTGAAGCATTATCTCTGTTTTGGAGAAGTCCAGCGAGATTCTGACTTGAATCTCATAGAGGACTTGCAGAGATCTAAAAATTAGGATAATGGCAAAAATAATAATATAAAAGCAATACAGCTTTTTCCGTAAATTATTGATGTAAATATAATCAATAATCATGCTATTTTTTAAATAAAATGTGAATATTACACAATTTTGCTTTGAATCTGGCAGGATTAATAATATAATATAATATAATATAATATAATATAATATAATGTAAAAATGAGAACACCTCAGATAACACAGCAAATAAAACGTGTTATATAGAAATATATTATTTATAGAAAGAGTCTTCCTGGAAACTTGTGATTGATCATGTGATTAGAAGCATCCAAGAAGTTTCTGAAGAAACAAAAAACAGGACTTAACAGGAAACATAAACCAAGACGGAACCAAGACAAAGTACTCAGCATGGGTCTACAATAACTGTAGTTGTTAAACTTCCTGATTAAAATCCTGTCTGTTGGAGCTGTAGCTTGTTTCTGGTCGTAGTTTGCGTTTTGATGACGTCACTGTCCTATCCTCGCGGGATTAGTTTACAGCGGCAGCTCTGACCAAAACCAGGATGTGGATGGAAACCAAATTTGGACTTCACAGAATATGTTTACTCGTTATTTGAGACTTTTTTTTAATTGACAGCAGTGAAGCGAACTTATTTGAGGTTTGTATAAACCGGACTAAATGAGACTAAAACTTTCAACGAGAGCGTCGCTGTAGTTTAATTAATTGTTACAGCTAAAGGAGTTTATGAACTGAAAGCTTAAATCAAAGCTAGATGCTAAATTAGTTTATAATACGGAACATAAGTTAGACTTTATTGTATTGCTTTTTATGTTTGATCTTAAACATGCCTATTTCCTACATAATTTGCTTCTTAAAGACTGATTTATGAATAACTCAGTAATTAAAATACTGTTGAAGTCATGCACTTTTAGAGTGTCCACACTAAAATAAAACTACGAAAACTCGGGAGATTACAGTTTTATATTTTGTTTTTGCCCAGCTTTAACCAAGATATTTTAGATCTTTTAGCTTAGTGGACAGTTTGTTTGTCTATAAAGATGAGGAAGGTAGAAGAAAAAAAAAACTTAACAACTCAAAAGAAGAAGTGAGGCTTAAACTGTTTACCGAAGCAGTATATGAAAGTCATGCCTATACGAAAACAGTAGCAAAGCACTAAAACAGGACCTGAAAGAAGCATCAGCTCTCACTTAATAAATCTGCTGCTGCTGGAACATATTCAGAAATCATCCTGGAGGAAGAGCTGCAGTCCTGAAGTCAATCTAGAGGTTAGGAAACAAGGAAACATCATCGGTTGCGTAAGACTTAGACCACAGCATTACTCAAGGAGTATCTGGAAGCCTGGAAAACTTTCTAAGCCCTTCTTTGCTTAGCGAAATAACAAGAAAATCTCCCAGAGAAACCAGGAAATGGTAAACAATGTCGGTGGTAGGATGAAATATTGACTTTATGATTGTTTGTTTCTATTCTATAAGCTCCATTTGAGCTGCTCCATTAGAAAATGTGATGTTTTTTTTAATTATTATTACATTATTATTTTTAATGAAATGCTGTTCTAATCACACAGTCTATTTTTCTTGTAATTAGTGTAGATTTAAGAACAGTTTGCGGCTGATATTCTATTCCTAGTTATTCTACTCAAGAATAACTCGTTTGTAAATAATTTTCGTATTTCAAAATACTTTTAAAGTGTTGGGGGTTTTTAATTCACAAGAATCTATTTTCTTATTTAAAAAATATTAAAGCACGTATAATTTCACAGCATAATGAATTTATTTTTTCAATGAAAACTTGCTCCTTTTCTTCGTAGATGTTTCTGATCCTGTCCCTGCTGATAATGTTTGCGCCACCAGGGGGCGACGCATCTCCAATCAGCTGCTACAACGACCAAGGTGATGCAGTTGACTGGTAAATATTCATTTCACTGCCAAAATTCACAGAAATCTGAAAGTTTAAATAATAGTTGAATATACTTTTGGCCTCTCTGGTATTAATTCTCTGCTGTCCCCTTATGTTTAAACAAGGTTTTACCTGTACAAACTCCCTAAAGAAGGGGGCAGAACACACGAGTTTCAGGGAGATACATATTTATTGCTGGACAAAGGGAGTGAAGGATGGACGGAGGGGAAGGTGACGGTGAACGACACCAATGGAGCTTTGGGCCAGACAGTCGGACAGCTGTACTCACAGGAAAAGGTCGGTTACCATCAGGTTTCCTTTTTATCTGCAGCAGATCAGAGGCTGATGCTAAAAATTGTGAGTTTTACATCCCTTTCTTTAGAAAAAAAACACCTATAGTTGAAGGTCAGCATTCTTCAAAAATGAATTATGAAGCAGTTTTCACTTCCTTCATATTCACATGTTCAGGTTCCACCAAGTGAAAAACGGCCGCAGGCAGCAGATATTTCAGTTTTTACCGTCTCAACAGTCTCATAAAAACTAATCTAATTTAAAGTGTGACCTAAAAGCAGTGGCATAGAAAGTCGATGCAAAAAAATAAATTATGTTGCACTGATGCAATAATACCTTAGAATAAGTTTTTCGTGTCAAGTGTTTGCAGTACACTTTCTGTACTGTGGTTTCTACTTCTTCTCTTTTACTCCATCATGCCTGAGGTGTGTTTCAGTTGTGGTGTAGGCTACATAACAGCAATTAAACCAGAGCTTGCTTAAAAAAAATAAAATGAAATAGGATATTTTCAAGTATGTCTTTGAGCTGTATTTACTGATAAATGACCAAAGAAATATTGCCCACGACATTATTTGCTGACACAAGTCTCTGTCTTTTTAACAGGATCTTTGTTTCGGTTTAACAAATAAATAAATGCTTAATCTTTTAACTGAATCAAGTTATTCTCAGTAGCAGGACGTTGAATTGATTGTGCAAATGAGTTATTTTGAAAAAAGAATAACATGGACTTGACAATTTGGTTGACGTCAGATCTTTATAGCTCTGTCACAGCTTTGCTGTCTTTGAAACGTTTTTCAGCTAATCTTTCTGCTTTCTTTTGGAAATATTTCTTATTTATTCTACTAATAGTTTATTGCCATAATATTATGACTTTATTCTCGTATTTAAAAATGAAATCTCCAATACACCATTATACTAAATTAATTGTTAATTTTTCAAAGTAAAGTAAATTCAATCAGAGATTTTGGTACTTCAATAAAGATTTATTGCAGTAAGTGTAGATGGTGCCATATTTTTCAGTAGGACCCAATTCCAAGTATCTAAAAATAAATAACATAGTGCAATTTTCACATTGTGCTGGCTTTATAGTAGATTTGATTTCTTGTGTTTTGGTACTTCTGTAACATCAGACTTGATTCTTATCATTTTAATCATCCATATGTTGATTTTTGCCACTGAGAGCCCACAGACATGTTCTCGCTCATACAGCTTTAAATCTGCCATCTGGAGGCTCTGCGTCAAAAGAAACAACAGGTTTGTTCAGATTCCCAGTTCCTCCCTATGCTGAGGTATGTTCAAATCAAACAGTAGATTCAAAGTTACACCAAGCTGCAAATCAGAAATCTCAAGTTACCAAGATTATTTTACAAGGTTACAAGAAAGTCTGACTACTTGGGAAGGAAATATGAAGAAATGACCTTTTGCAAGGTGCTACATGTGCCTTAAAGACACATTTATATCAGATCTAGGTTTAGAGCATTACAGTGTGTTTTAAAATAATCTCCTGCTAGTTAGACCAGAAATCCACCAGGAACCACAGAAAATGGTTCATTTGTGCCATGTTTGTTCACTCTGTAGTTTTTCAATTGGTTTGATAACTAAACCAAACTACTACTTTTGTACTTCAAACATTATCACAAAAACAAATCTACAGGTAGGAAATAATTAAACAGAAAATGTTTCTGACTGTTTTGGTGCACTATCTTCCTCCACCAGGAAAAACAACCTGATTATTTAAAAAAAAATCTTCATTTACTTATAAAATGATACAATTTATCATTGTTTGCAATGATACAATTTATAAATTTATTAATGCTACAAAAGGAGATCCCAGAATATTGTTAATTTTTATTTTTTTAATTTTTGCACGTTTGTTGCTCTAAAGTCTGCAGTTTGACAAGTGAAGTGTTGGGGATCAGAAAAAGGCATTCAGATAAATTCCTGTCTGCTTCTGCATTTCATCTGCAGCTGTAAGACTTCCCTTTTTTAAGATGTAAACTGACCATGGTGCTAAGCATATTTTTGACCGCCATGCTTGTGGCTTTTGAGTGTTTTAAAATGAAGACACTCAATAGGAGAAGTGAAAATGTGCTTTTCTGTTTGGATTGGGCCGGTTTATTCTTAATGCCGGTAAAAGTCACGACGCAAAGTTCAATGTTCATTCCTTAAACTCATCCTCTTTGTCCATCCTGTTGGTTTCTGCTCAACAGAGACCATACCGTGAAGAAAACAGGTCACACAGAGAAACCCAGAGACATTTCGTAGGGGTTCCCATGTGCTTTCAAGGCCAGATGGGATGCATAATTCATCCAGAAAACTCTGGGTCTCCTCCAAAAATGACGTCCAGAGCCTTATAATGAGATGCCTGAGATGTCCCAGACAATTCAAACTCTGCTGCAAACCAGTCGAGTGCTCTCCAACAGAACCGCATCTTCTGCTGAACTGAAACATCAGACCTGGAGGCTGTTGACATGACCATACTCTGAGATCTCGTCCACTATCAGTCCATGGCACAGATTCTCTTTGAGACTTAGAAAATGTCATTTTTTTGAATAATTATTTGGTTGTTTTCAGTTTTGGATCCGTGCAAAATCTTTGTGTGAATTTAGAATCGTGATTTAAAGAAAACATTTTTGTTTTCACAGAACTCGGAGGTAGCGTACATCCTGTACAACGACCAGCAGCCTTCTGGGGAATTTGGTGGCAGATGGGCTGAAGGCAGCGGGAGCAGCAAAGGTCACACGAAAGGTCAGGCACCTCAATGTCACCCAGTGTTCAGAAACAGAGTGGAAAACAGTTCAGCTGCCTCAGGGAATAATCCGATTTGGACATAAACTCATGCAGAGAAGAGATATCCTGCTGCTAATAAAGTATCTGACAGTCTCACCTGGTACAAAACAGAGCCTCACCTGATGTATTCCTGTTTCATTGTCTGTAAGCTAATTTGCTAACACTTTTATCGTCTCTGGCCTTCAGGTGTTGTTCTGCTGGATAAAAATCAGGGGTTCTGGTTGGTGCACAGCACCCCTCACTTCCCCCCTGAGCGACAGGAAGGGCAGTTTTACTATCCCAGCAGTGGAGTGAACAACGGGCAGAACTTCATCTGCGTCACCTACCCGCTAGAACGTTTCCAGACCATCGGTAAGACTGGAGTCGAGGCTTTTATGCTGGAAAGCTGAGCCTCTCCCAGAACGCTGACCTGTATTAATATGGAGAACTTAGGAGGTGCGCTGCACCTTTAAGAAAACAGGATGTATCCTCTCTGTCTTCGTAGTTTAGAACTTAAATTAAAAATGAAATTTCTCAGATGGAGCCAAGATTTTCCACTTAAATGAGAATATTACAGATATGAACAATTTGAAAATGAAATCAAGATGTGATGTTATTGAGGAAGAAGGAAAGAATATGAGAGTATTTAAGGTTTTCATGCCTCTCTGCACAACTCACATTAGACATTGGCCGGCCTCTGATTCAAAGTTGTTCCCCTAAATGAAGTTGTAACTAAAGGAGGACATTTAAATGCATGACGGTTGAGATGGTGAGAACAGGAGGAGCACTGAGGGGAAACGGCACAAACATTTAGGTTTGACTTTGTTTCCTCACACAAGCATCTCATAAGCATATAATGATACATGTTTCCTCCGAGTTTGGAGGGATTTTAATTTTGTGTCAAAGTAGAAACACTTTAAAAAGAAATCAGAAGTTGTTGCTGCTGAACACCAGACTGTAATGCTTATCTCTGTTCAACTCTCTAAAAATACCAGTATAAACATAAGTCTATTTCTGTAAAATAAAACGTTTTACAGTTTTATGCAACATTCAAGGAAACTCATCATATCTGGGAAATAACATCATTTTTGAAACATGCCTAAAACGTCTGAAGATTCAATTTAGATTGGATTCTTAGCTAAATGTGTCGGTAAAAACTGGGTCAATCCATAACTTTATTAGACCTCTGATGTCTGAGCGAGTGTTTCAGCAAGAATAAATGTTCTTTATTTAAATATTTCAAAGAGAAACCTCTTAAGGAACAATACAAAAACTCTATGTTTGCCAGCTGTTTTAAACCATATGCTAATGTAGTTCCTTAAAAGCTGCTGCTTTTAGTAAAGGATTTCTAATGTTGTGTTTAGCAGTCCGGTCAGGTAATGACACAACAGCATAATCAGTGTAAACAGGTGTTGTCTCCGTGTCACTCAGCCGCCGCCGCAGATCGCTGGCAGACTCAGCCGTTGGCACAGTTGCTATGGCAGAGCCGGGGATAATGTAATTAGACGGAGGTGTGTAACCATAGCGATCGAGGCCCTCACGCTGCGGCAGGGATTTGTTTCATCACGTCCTCGCCTCTCCAGCTGAGATGTTCTGGGCGTCCGGGGAAAACGTGGACACACAGGCAGAGGGCATCTGGTCAAACAGCAGAGACAGAGCTTTGTTTTTATCAGCACCTGCAGCATTTCATTTACACATAAATACAGAAAACTGCTCTGCTGCTGTTGGAATTTGGTTTGTAATCGTCTCAGGGATGCCACCTATAAATGAAAAACTGTTGAGCTGACAGAAACGTGTGTAGTTTCAGTAACAAATTTAATCAAGCCTAACTTTTTATTTCATTTAGTTTGTCCTGAACCAATATACCACTTAGGAGAAACTCAATTTATTTAATTAAAGGCAAAGCTGTTGTGCTTTGATAATTAAATCACTACTGCAGTGATCTTATTTCGCAAGCACGACTAGTTTTATTGCTTTGCTCAGGTTATTGGGCCTAAACCAAAGTTTGATCAAACCAGAACTTTCATCTGTCCAAACATGCAATACTTTCCCAAAAAAGGCCATTTGGTTCTTACACAGTTCCTTTATATCTGAATTAGGGATAATGCATTCATTTAGAGGAATGTTCAAACAGATATTCCTGTTTGTAAGTTTAGTGGTGATTAAAATGTTTATTAAGCCAAGCATCCAAATCCAATCAGCCACTTTTACACTGTGGGAATATTTTGTCTAATGTTTAAACTTGTGTTTTACAGTTTGGCAAGTAACAAATACAGCTCTGTTTGCTGTTGTTTTCTGCTGCTTCTGCTCTGGTAAAAAAAAAAAAGTCCTATATTATTATTATTATTATTATTATTATTATTATTATTAATTCATTGTATTTATAAAGTTCTTTATATTGCCAATTGAAATCTCAAAGAGCTGTTATACTAGACCCTTTAATTAAAGGAATGGCCCACAGTTCTCCCTAACTGATTTAAAAAACAGCAAAACCAAATAAAAATGTAAAAAAAAATGATTAACCTACAAATAACCCTTGAAAATAACTCAAAACTATTTAGTAATTCAATAAAATATCTTAAAAATAACAAATAGCTGTAGTTTACAATTAGAACAAAACAGCATCTAATTCTCAAAGGTCAGCGCTTTTTGCGACACAGTATTTATTTTTAAGCAGTTATGAGGCAAGGTGGTGAAACCTTAAACTGCTGCTGCATAACAACCTGGAAACTCAACAGGTTGTTGCTAGGTAACCAAAGATTCAGTGAGTTGCTAGGTAACTAAAAAGTGAGTTAGTTGATGCCACAGACTTGCTTGGCTGCCTGTGACAGGTTGAGCAGCTAAAAACCTTTCCTCTGCCTACATCCCCCAGAATGCTGCGCAGTTCTGGATTGGAGTTCGATGAAATTATTCGCAGTATGTATTGTTATTAATTTATTGTCCAGTCCATTGACTTGAATGTGCTTTGTGCCACAGGAGAGCAGCTGCAGATCAATCAGCCTAACGTGTATGACTGTGACGTCCCGGAGTCCCTGGCGTCCTCCGTCCCAGCTCTGGCTGCTGTCTGCAACAAAAACCTTCTGTCCTCTCAGATGTTTCCACATGTGAAAACTGTGTCCAACCGCAGCGTGACTCTGACTTCGACAGGCGGCACCGACTTCATCAGCTTCGCCAAAGGAGCAAAGTTCGATGATGGTGCTGCTTCTGCTGTATAGCCTTGAGCAATTTCTAAAGCTTCAGGTTCGTTGTCTCACCTCTCCTCTCTCTGCTCCTCCGTCAGACCTCTACCACTCGTGGGTGGCGCCCACCCTCAAGTCAGACCTCCTGGTTCAGTTCTGGGTGCGCTCCACTGGGATCCTCCCCTCCGACTGCTCGTTGGGCTGGAAGGTCCTGGACATCAAGAGCATCAACCCAGGGCAGACATTCACCTTCAAGGCCACGCAGGACCACTCCAAGTGGGCCGTCAGCCTACGGGCAGCGCGGGACGGGTCACGAAGCGGCGGCTGGGTGTGCGTGGGGGACATAAACAGGAACGAGGCGGAGGAACGGCGTGGAGGAGGCACCGTGTGTCTTCAGGACCCGACGGTGTGGAAGGCTTACCGGACGGCGGCGCTGGAGTGCGAGGCCTGTGGAGGAGAAATGATCCAGTGCTGAAGAGTCCGCAGAGCTATACGATAACGCTGGGCTCAGGGGCTTATGGGAAATATTTCAACACGCTTGATATGCTGGGAGTCAGTTTTAAAACATAAAAAACAGAGTCCCGTTTGGACTGGTGCTGTCAGTCGATTCAATAATGTAATCAGGTTAATCACACTCTGACAGTAATCGCTTTAATCACTGTGCCTAACTTCAATCCAACCAGTCAAAATGCAATCAATTATTTTTATTTTATTTTTTTTTTTGTGGCAGAAAGCAGGTAATGTCTCCCAGTACTCAACAACAACTAAGGAACTTACTCCACTACACATGAATACAAGTAGTGGTAAACATTTCCAGGAGCCAGCTGATGACAGATATGTTTTATTTTCTGGTTCTTGGGTCCTCCACCCCTTCCTGATGCTGCCCTGGGCAACAGCCCATATCGAAAACTGTCAAAAAAAGTTTTGTCGCCTCAAACCAAATCTTCATACCTGAAGATTCTCAGTTTTCCAGGTTTTTATCTTCAGGAAGGTTTGAAGGAAGACATTTTGTTTTAAACATTAATTTAGAAATGTCTGTCTGTTCATATCCTGTGGAAGATGTGCAATGAGGTGATAGTTGCTTCTCCTCATCCAGCCTAACTTGTGGCATAATTTGTACATTTGAAATTTCGAGCTCGTACGTAACTTCGTGCAAATGTGGGTTAGCGACACAACACAAGAAAGTTGTGAATGTTCGACTTTGCTGCTGTTGCGGAAAACTGTCACTGTGGTTTGTCACTCCCTGTGTCAAATCCAAAATCCACTGCTGTGAACGATGTAGCCCTCAAAATAGTAGTTTGATTAATCTATGTTATGTAATATCAACACTTTAAAATTTTCAGATTAATTGCATGCGTTAGCATTGACAGCAATAGTTTGGACATAATTTGGTGAAAATGCAAACCAGAGATGGAGATGAGAGTGATTTGGAGCTGGCAGGTTTTACACAGTAACAGAGAGGACAAGTCTATGGCATCACAGCTTTTCCTGGCAGTTACTGGAGCATCTGACAGTCAAAACAGGAAGAAAACAGCAGACACCAAAAGATCAGGGTTCCTGCTGCAGAAATCTGGAAAATTATGGAATTTGATTTTAGTTTTTTTCTGTATATAAATAAATAAAAAAAAGCCTCAAAATATTTTTTATTTCCAGCTGAAAATTCATGGATTGCTGTTACCGAGGTGATGGAATAGGTAGCCATGACGACTAAGCCCTTTGATTGATTGAGCCTGAAGTGATTCAACAAACAGCAGAAACAGTTTTTATTTTGCTCTCCTAGTTGTTTTCTTTTCTGTGGTACAACTTCATACTGAACTACTGAGGATCCAATGCATCAGACAGCAGGCAGAGGTCAACAGAGGTCACTTCCTGGTAGGATGGAGATGGACGTGGTTTGGCCCTTTGTCTGCAGCTACTTTCTACTTTCTTCTCAGTTTCTTTTAAATCAAATAACTTACAGCACATCTTCATCACTGGTCTCCATTTAAACCAAATTATATCCAAATCAGGCCATTCTGACAGAAAATGTAATTTAAAAGTCTAATGTAATTATTCCAATTGCAAATTTGTAAAAATTAGCTACTTTTGTATGTTATGTGATGCCTAGGAGGACATTATTTTTTAAGAGTTTTAGAGGAGTAAAAGTTTACACTGGTTTAACTGTAAGCTGCTGAGGTTTAGTCTGTACACTGTAAGAGAAAATCCTCCTCTGTAGCTTATATTCCCCGTAGCCTCTTAAAATTCACACATCATCCCTAAAAACCAACAGTTATTTGTAAAAATGCTTAGTTTTTTTAAATACTTCAATGTGGTGAGTTCATGGAGTTTATAGTCAAACACATTTGTTATTTGTTTGCTTGATTTTTTCTCCCTTGTTTTACTATTCCAGTAATCAACAGGTGGCAGTAACGGCCTGCAAAGTGTTATAAAGCATGGCGCACGTCACGCATTCAGATTTCAGGATGTATCTTTCAGTTTTTATTTTTTTTAAAAGTGCACGTAACTGAACTGATCCTAAAAATGCAGCTCAGATGAACATTAGCTCCAAACAGCAATTCAACTTAACTGCAAATTGTTTGTTTTTAAAGCAAATTACATTTATAATGAGTAAACAGCAAACAGCCACAGAGTGTGCGTCTCAAAAAGAGAGACATTCAGTTCATGCTTTCTTGGCAAAAACATTTCAAATGCTCAGTATGATTTTTTTTTTTTTTTTATGCAAATGGAGCCGTGCAGTAGGAGAACGAGTTTTTAAATCTGACAGCAATCTAGAGAGGTTAGGAGAAAACAGAACAAAACCCATAAAAGTGTCTCTTTAAAAATAATAAAAGCAAAAGCTGAAGTGTTTTTCACAGCTGCTGAAACTGAAGAGACTCTCCTGCAAATGGATGAGAGCAGATTCTGTAAGGAGGTTTTTCCACTCATGCATGCAGGTGTTCTCTGGAGGACTGACATGCTCTGCTTCTTGAAAAGCACGTGGATCATTTCTTTCATTATTATTTTTAGGATTTTGGAAAGAAATCAGGGGCAGAAAAGATTCAGGTTTGATGATTTTCTTTTACTTCTCTGTGAATGTTTGTTAAGTCAAACGAGCTGTGAAGTGCTTTTTCTCCGCCTTCAGTCTGACCTTGATTTTTCCTGTAGATAAAGATGCTGGCTGTCTTTAATTTGAATAATAAAAAAAAAGCTTCTGCGGGGGTGTCTGACTTCATACGTCACCGTATCTTTGAAATGTCACCACTCACATGGATGCATGGAGCTGAATTTAACTGTGTCTTATGAAAAGGCCAACAGCATGACAAATCTCACTCATAAGCACCAAAATCCATATAAAAGTAAGTTTATTACCACAAAATAAGACATCTGACATGTAGTGCATAAATAAGTTTGATGTGAAATGGATCAGCGCTGGAGGAGGCTGCGTTTCCGCCACCTGTGTGTTCTGAATACATTCTAATGAGAAAGGTGAGCACCAAGCAGAAAAAGGCACTAAAACAGTCTTTAGCAACAACATCACACCTGCATGTCATGTAGTATTACCCAGAATCCTCTGTCTGGTCCCCCACAGTCCCTCCCGAGCCTCGGCCAATCAGAAGGCCTCATCAGCGTTGGGAATGATGCGTAGAGGCCAGAGGTCACAGGTTCAGATTAAACTCAAGCTGCTGAACATTCACTATAAAATAAAGAAAGCTCAGAGGGGAACCAACCTGGCAACCCGTTAGACCCGAACATTTCAGCTGTTTGGTTCTGGAAAAACTTTCTTCCCGTTTTAAGTTTTATGCTGATTAAGCAAAGCAACGTGTTTTTTTGTAAAGTGCTTGAAGTTCATTTAAAGCTGCAGGAATTGTTTTTGTCCACTAGAATTTAGAGGAAACTTCAGTTTTGTGCTATATTAATTTAATGCATCGATCTACTTGCATATAGTGCTGTGAAAAACTTTTAAACCTCACCCTTGCTTACATATTTCCTTCCAAGCAGCCAGAGCTCCCTGTAATCTCTTAACGTTTCAGAAACACGGCTCTGAGGCTTCCAGTTCCCCGTAGATTCAATTTGAAATTAGCCTTTTTTATGCTTAAAGTGACTTAACCAAAAACACCTGAAATGGTCAAATACAGGACTGAAGACAAGTAAAAAAAAAATTAAAAAGTCAAAATCCAAAAGAAAGGTCTTCAGAAGAATTGATTAATGCGACTTTGAAAGATCACCAGAGAGTCAGAATGTCTTAGAAGGAAAACATGACGAAATGATTGGTTGCTCCTTGCTTTTAGACATCCAGCAGAACAAATCTTTTCTCCCTTTTGTAAATAATGATTTACTTTGGTCAACAGCAGCTTCGGCTGGAGGAACGTCTGGCTCTCTGGGTAATGGACGACCTGCAGATGAACTGTCTGGATGTTGCTGGATGAGTGTGCAGAAAGCCAGTCAGAGAAGAAACTGTTTTTCTGACTCTATGTTCCCACAGAGCCCAGAAAGTTCATTTGAGCTGCAGAGTTGGTAAAAATACCTCTGTTGAATAAATGTCTGAGTGTTGCAGCTTTTTGTTTATGTTGAAATGAAACAATTCATTTTGTCTGAGCTCTCTGGAGCTAACAGGAATGCACAAACAGGATTTCTCAGATTAATTAGGAGCTTCTCTCATCATACAGACAGACAAGGTGTATAAATATATACAAAACATGATTATATGTCTCAGGGACATGCTTCAGTGTTTCGCTACACATCTGTGCTTACAAATCCTACTGAGTTGGAATGAAAAACAGAAGCACTGAATGCTGGATGACCGGGCCGAAGCACCTGATTCCCTCAGTTAAAGGCCTCCATCAGCCCTTCCCTCCCAGTTTAATTTAGTAATGCATATTGGCTAGCAATTGGGAGAACTGGCCCGGTTCCTCAGCAGCAGATGTCCTCTGTGTTTTTTGCAGAACAGACTTGGTCAGGAGAACGAAGGAAGGCATGTGTAGATTTGTCTTTTTTGCACATTTATAGAGAAAAAAAAACTGCTGGAAAGGACAAAGCTTGTGTCAAAACAAAGTCCGGACCAATCTCCTTCCTTTGGCCTTGATGCGAGGAAAAGTAGCGCTCGTCTCCGTGGTGATCGGTGAGCCAACCGGGGTGTTCCCGCCTTTCCTTCTCAGCAGGAAGTCAACGCTGGATGATGTCATGGCATAGAAGACGTTTCCTGTTGCCGGGATGACCAGTTCTGAGTTAACAGAAGAGAGACACAAAGTATTTAAGGAAAAACTGTTTCCAGTTGATATTATTGTCTGTTTTTAGACATTATTTATGTAAAGGGTATTACATATAAAATGTATTATTCTTATGACTTTAGAACCCAGTAGGACCAGATCAAATCCCAGAACTAAACTTTTATCATACCCTTATTTACAGTAAAACTGCTGAATTGTTGAGCTTAATAATCATTGAAGTAAACAAAAATTTTTTGTACCTTTTCCTTCAGGCAGAAGTTGTATCAGCTCATATCTGGACGCCTGTGTGGGGTCCTGATTGTGTTTCTCCAAGGCAGAGCTGATGACAGAGGGGGTCTTGTCATTGCTGGTAACCTAAGTGGAAAACAGAGCGTAACTGTGACACCAGTACAGCTTGATTTGCACTAATGATACGGCGGCTCTGATGTGTCCTGAGGATCTGATCTGATGACTATCATTACCACGGAGAGTCAGCTTTAAGTGCAGCGTGCTGCGGATAATTCAGGCCGACTCACTGCTGATGTGAATTAGAGTGAAATGGCTTTGAGATTTGTACCAGTATGCTTCTGTACAGGTTCCCATCCTGCAGGTCCATCCGTATCCTGATGATCCGCATGTCGGGCCCCGACCCCGGGACATTGCTGGGGAGGTTGTTGCCGCAGGAAGCTGATCTGCGGTGCGTTTTTGTGGGCGTGGTTGGGGTCAGCGCAACGGGGGTGGACTCGTTGGTCGGAGGGGACGTGTCGACGTCCAGACAGGAAACCGACGGAGATCTCATGTGCTGCAACACAAATAACTGTAATTTCAGAGGGGAAATCTTCAAGATACAGGAAACTAAAGCCAAAGAAAAAAAGAGTCGGCTCTGAAGGCAGCGTCTGTGAAATGAGTTCATATAAATGCAAACCTGACCTTTTCTAATAATAAGCATTAGTGGATTACCTTTGTGAGTTTGGAGAGAAAGTTATTAACTGGAGAGTGAAAGTCGAAGAGGCTTTCGCCGTCACCAGCCAGGCTGGTCCGGGAGCTGCTCAGGCTGGAAACAAGAAGCAAAACATCAAACTTTATCAATTAACCAGAAACAGAATTTATACAAAACATTCTGGAAAACTAAAAGAAACCTGCTTCAACTTTGCAGGTATCAAAGTTGAAGCTTTGAGTTTAGCTCAATGCTAAACTCCTTTAGCTGTGAGTTTGATCCCAATCTACTCCAGATTGGGATCAAAATCTGGAGCAGATTTATTTATCAGATTTATTTGTGAACCTGATTTTCCCCTCTGTGGGACAATTAAGTTTTTTTCTAAATTTAATCTGACGACGCCATTTCATTTTGACGTTATAATTTACATGTTCGTAGATATTGTGCTTCTGTTCATATGTTGTTCAAAGTTTGGGCTTAAACCTGACTGATATTCTGTAAACTTAAACATGACATTGATGCTCAAAAACCTCCAGTTTGGTTCAACTGAAACATCTCTGTACAGAACAGTGGGTCAAAGTTTATTGGATTGTATTTTTATTTACCTTAATAAATGAAATTGTTTTCAAAAACAGCGTTTTTTGCTGTTTACTACAATTATCTATGCTATACAAGATTATGAATCTTATTTGAAACATTTAAATCAAAAACAGAAGAAACCACTTTGCTCCCCACTATGATCAGATATGATTAATCCGTTTAATCCTGACAGTGGTGAGCGATTCCCAGTGAAATGAGCTTTAGAAATCATTATAAAAACAGGCGTTTGCATCAATAAAGACCCGCCATCCCCTCATGGTAACTCACTCTGAGCACTGGGTGATGATGACTGTTGGCATCAAAGATCGAGGACTCGGCTCAGTGGGTGCTTCAATCTCATTGGACAGTCTGTAACTACAATTAGACATCAGTCAGTAAAGCATAAACTGGATGTTTTCAAATCTTAAATGCTCCTAAATGCGTACCTTTGCTCCTCTGTGAGTGTGGGCACGCTGTGGTACCACTGTGAGAAGGCCTCGTCGGAGTCAAACACGCAGTTTTTGCAAGAAGACTGCAGGAGCCGGATTTGAGCTAAAACCTCAAATTCCTGTTAACAAAGAACTTTATCACCACAATGTTTCTTAAAGAAATAAAACAGCTGACATATCCATGGCAGAACCATAACTATTTCCTGCTCTGATTCTATTTCTGCTCCACTCGTTTTAGACTTTAACCCCCCTTTATTTGTAGCAGAGAGAAATATATTTTGCATATTGTGTCACTTACCCTTCTCCTTTTGTCAAAGTTGATGTAGCCGTTCTGCAAAGGGAGTGACAGGATGCGTTAGGTCAGCCTGAGTGCTGTTACATGGATCCCACAGATGAGATCAACTTACATCCAGCCGGTCTTTGACCGCCGTGTCCAGCATGGTGAGGTCTGTGAGGAAGATTCCCAGGTAGGGCACGGTGCCCTGAGCGTTGGACTGGGATGAAACAAAAAGGACACATTTTTCATCAGTCCCCCCTGAGGTTCTCATTCACAACCCAAAGAGCCCACCAACAGATGAATTTCAGAGCAGCTGCCTGCAGCTATTTTTCACAGGGTGGCTCAGAATTCAGCTGAACACACAGGAGCGTACATCACAGCTCACTGCCTCACTTTGTTGCTCAATTCCCTACAAGGATCCTCTTTAAAACCACCGATCCACCCGCAGTTCAGCTGCAGACCTCACTATCAACGACTTACCACAGCATTTAGCATTGTTAGAATAGTATCCTGCTTTAAAACTTTGTTTTACCTTTGAAAAGTGGATTTTTGTGGCAATTTGAATATGCACATATGCAACATCTCAAAAAAAATTATACCACATAAACATTTTCACACTTTTTTTTTTTTGACATGCTGAAACTTCTGCTTTCGTTTAGCAGTGGAGCATTTTTGTTAACTTTAGAAACATTTGACACACTTAGCTTTCCCCTAATTTAATTTATCCGGATAGATTCTTTTATCTTTTACTTTTTTCCTTTTAATTCACTTTATATTGCCTTCTTGCTGAAAGTGTGCTATATTAATAAAATTACCTTTACATTTACTTTTTAGATTCTAAAGTACTAATTTACTTTAAGTTGAATAAAGTTCGACACCAGTGTTGAAGTTTCGGTTATAGACTTTTCCTTCAAGCAGTTAGACGTTTATATTCAAGCTCTTATTCTGAAATCTGTTTATGCAGCAGTTTTGTCTCCTGCCATGCCAGATTGTGTTCTAACAATCACAGATAAAAGTTAAGCATCTTTTACAAAGGAAATAAAAATGTCTCCTATTAGCACACATGAACGAGCTTAATGCATGTTTCCTGCTGAGGTATTTGCTATTGTGAAACGCCAATTCCGTTTCGCAGTACAAAAAAGCTGAATTAGTATAAAATATTTAGCTGAAAGTAATCCCACACTTTTGACAACTTTCATCTTTTTCTTTCTCTTCTTTCGTTCCTCGCCGTCTCCCTCTGTAAATGCTAATAGCACTTAGCATTCGTCAGGAGCTCATTGGGGGCAGTGAGAGCGCTGCACAACACAAATAATAATCTGGTCTGAACACGGCGTGCTAAACAGTAAAACTTAATTTAGTGAAGCCTCGAGGCAGATAATTTGCAGTTGACTTTCTGACACACCAAGTGTTTTGCTTGTAGACCAAAAAATTTGAACAGAACTTTGCATTCATTTCTTGCATTTTTTCTTACAACTTTTTTAGAAACAGATGGACTCTGAAGGTGACTTCCAGTCGCACTGGATTTTATATAATGGTCTCACATTTCAGATTTTTGTTTATTAAAAAAAAAGGATGTATCCTTTTCCTTCCTTTACTGTTTAGCTTTAATTCAATAAAATGTGGAACAAGTGCAAGAGGTGTGATAACTTTTGAAGGTACTGTAACAGTCACGCTTCCACAAGCCTTAAAATCCACCTGAAATGTAACTTCTAAGCACAGAGCATTTCTGTGCACTTTTACAGGGTGTTACATCATGCTGCAAATTTCAAAAAGTCGGCCATGAAGGCCTGTGGGGACGAACGGCCCCTCAGGCTGAAATGTTTAGTATTCACCGCAGACGTGGGCCATAAAGTTGGTGAGAATACTTCTCTTTTATTTGCCCGTACATCAGAGAGGTCATTTCTAAGCTGCTCCTAAAACGTCTTGGTGAGGTAACCCTGAAAGCTTGTAGCAGTCCGGTGAGAACTGTGGATGTGAACTCAGCATTTCTGAGTGTTTGAAGCTGCATGCTTTCATCCTCCTGCAGCTGAGATGTGCAACCAGAACCTCTCAGCTGTCAGGAAGATGTTGGACATGATTCTCAGATCAGTCTCCGTAGCCAGCGTTTCCACTCTACTCACCCTGCTGTGGTGTCTGTTGTTGATCCTGTTGTCAAGGTTGGCAAACTTTGAGGTTCCCTCCTGCAAGACACGAACAAGGGGAAGCTTTTCATTTATTCACTCGAGTTTAAACAGAAGGAGAATTTTTATTGACATGTTTATCTTATATTACGCATCTAGCTGAATAAAACTAAAAGTCACAATGCCATATATATATATATATATATATATATATATAAAATGGTTATCTCAAATTGTTGTCCTTTAGCATAAAGACAATGGTCATTATGCTGAAGAAAAGTGATTTTTGTGCTGCAGCCAGTATTTTAACAGCTATACTTGAATTTGACCTATAACAGTAACAAACTGATAAAATAGTGTATGTTCCTTCTCCACTTGAATAATCTCCAGTGATCTGGTGAAAATAAATGAACTAAAAGAATTTGGAGAATTTTAAATGTGCAGTCTGCTTTTTGGCCACTTGGGGGACAATAAAAAGAAACCAGACATTTTCCTATGGAAGAAGATTAGAGCCACTGAAATAAATTTGCCAAGAGAAGAGAACCAACTTTCTGGAGGAACATGTCAGATTGAAGTGATTTTTACGTAGACGATGAAATTTGGAGTAAAAAAAACTCTATTTGATGAATAAAGTCAGAATAGTTTGTTTTTTTTCCAATGCCTTTTATCCTCTTTTGTAGTATCAACAATCAACAAAATAGAGCAAGAAAATATGACTCATCCTGCATTATGAGAGTTACATTACATTCTGTTGCTGTAACAAGATGGTGCAACAACACAGATGGATTTTCCCTCTTTTTCTTAAATAAACAGATCATTTCATTGTTATTTTACATTTTGCCAGTGAATAAAGCCAGCTGACCAAAAGGTGAACCAATGAACCACCATCTTTCCCATTTTTCATGTACTCTTAACATTTTGTTAGGTTTGCTTATACAGTAATTTCCTCAGGATTTTATAATTTTACCTCCTTTAAATCTTATATTAAATACATTTCTGTAATTTCCTTCATTCTCCTGTATAATATCATCAAAATCAGAAACATCCTGTTCCTGACTGTTGCATTGTTGTGTTTTTTCCAGTTATGCAAGATTAGCATTTATTGCTACAATTAACTTTGTGATCTAGCTGTTTTTTTATTCCTTCACACTTGGTCCAGTGCTTCTGTGGCTGTCTGACTCTTTCATGTACTCAACATTTTGTTAGGACATTTCTTACACGGAGAACTTTTTACTAATTGATGTTGCATGTTCTGAAGCTTAGGTATTGTTTGGAATTGGAATTAACTGGATGAATTAAACACATTTAGACTAACTTGCATACATAATTTGTAAGATTTGAACTGAACTAAGTTCTGAGGTCGCTTTTAGTATTTTATTAGTTCAACCAGACAGATTTCTTCTTCCTGGAAATAATGTTAACAATTTGCAGTCGCCCGCAGAGAGTTTTGACTTGAATCTCACAGGGAATTAATGGAAATAGCTAAAGATTAGGGTGATGAAACGGAGGCTTTCCAACCACAAAGAGTGAATCATCAAATATAAATTGTAAGAAAAAAAGCCAGTCAGCCATTATAAAAAATCTTTGATCAACGTAAGGCCCTCAGAAATGTCCATATATTATTGAAAAGTGTATTAATAATTTTTAACATTACTTTTTATTTACTTTACAATGTAATAAAAAGAGATTTTTTTAAAAATTAATACTCCTTTTATATTATAATAATATTTTTGTGAGATGGTTGGTTAAATGTTAATTATTGAAATTTAAATGGGCCAATGGCATGAATAACTTTGAGCTTTATTTGTTTTCTGGAAGTTTTATATATTTTTCTTAAATTTGTATGTTTTCTCGTATAAACGGTTGGATTTTTTGCAAATATTCCATTGTGAGATAATGCTACTACAATGAAAGTTACCTTTAGAATAAGGTTGTTGTTTTTTGTTGTTGTTGTTGTTTTTTTTTACCAGAAATGCCAATAATCACAGAGGCTGCTTCTTCATTCCTGTGATGTTATCTCCAACACAGATATTAAACACTGGGAAAGCACTGAGTGTTTGTTTCTGGAGGGGATTCACACAAACTGCAATTTGCAAAACTCTGTTGTTGCGAAAAGACCCAAAACAGAGTTTAATTTAATCACTGCAATGCTTTCCGACCCAGCTCCATTCATTTACTTTGCACTAAAGCATATTAAGGGACACAAGAAAAACTGCAGAAATAGGGACTTCTGAAGATTTTTACGCGAGGCAATGAAAAGCTGAGCAGTAAAAACATCAGACGGCAGCCAGGAGCGCCGATCTCAGAAGAAAATAGCTCTCAAACCAATTCAGAACGTCACAAAAAAGAGCTGCTGAGATCTCACTTTTTATCACCGACGTGTCAATCTGCAAACAGCAAATCTCTAAATAAACACATCAATTCACAATTGACTGGGTAGTTTCATGCTATGCCATGACCCTGAGCTCAGATTTCTCACTGAAGCAGATGAGATTATATCAGCAGTTTTAGCATGATTCAGCTTTCCAGGCACACAGAGTAATTTATTTCCACTGTCATTAATGAGCTCTTTATTCCCACAACAACTCACCTCCTTCAGGAGTTCTCTGCTCTGTGAATAGTTGTCCTTGTCTGAGAATATTTCTGCCAGCTCCTCGTATCTCCTCAAGGCCTCTCTGCAAAAGAAAACAACTGTCAGTGGAAGATTCATGTGTGTTCTTGAATTATTCAAGGTAACAAAAGTGTAATAAAGGAAGATTGTGCAAGCACAGCTGAGTCTCAGAAAGCTGAAGGCATATTTAAACTGGAAAATGGGTTTATGTTCAGTAGCAGAGATTTGAACAATTTTTTTATGGGAACAACACAGTGTATGCCTGGTTAGCTCAGCTGATCAGAATATGGTGCTAATAATGTCAAGGTCATGGGTTCAATCCCCATACTGGCCAATTCACATCTAAAGTTTTAATAAAATCAACACAGAAATAAAGGATGGAAAATCAAATATATTGCCTGTTAATTCTGAAAAACATTACAATATGAGCATTTTTCTTAAATTTTCATTAAGATCAAGTACGTCTTTCTTAAATCCATGGAAACTCAAAAGTGTGTATGGTCAGTTAGCTCAGCTTGTCAGAGTATGGTGCTACTAACACCAAAGTCATAGGTTCAATCCCCATACTGGCCAATTCAAATCTAAAACTAACATATAATAAAAGGCTAGTAAATCCAATATTATACATATTGATTTTGAAAAACTGTAGAATATGAGCACTTTTCTTAAATTTTGTTAAGATCAAGTACGTATTTCTCAAAAGAAAGGAAACTGAACCGTGTGTATGGCTGGATAGCTTAGCTTGTCAGAGCGTGGTGCTAATAACTCCAAGGTAATGGGTTCAATCCCCACACTAGCCAATTTAATTCTAATGTATTATTAAAATCAACACAAACAAGAGGCTGGAAAATCAAATATTGTAGATATTGATTTAAAAAAAACATTAGAATATGATCACTTTTCTTCAATTTTCATCGTTAAAAACAAGTACGTATTTCTTAAATACATGAAAACTCAACATTATGTAAGGTAGATAGGTTAGCTCAGCTTGTAAGTGCATGGTACTAATACAGCTGAGGTCATGGGTTCAACGTCCATACTGGGCAAATAAAATGTGAAGACTTTCAGACAACACTTCAAAACTAAAACCTGCTGGGAAAATAAAAACACTTCAAAACTTAAAAACTACTGGGAAAATAAAAACACTTCAAAACTT